GAAATATATTTCCAGCAAGATGGCGTTTCTCCTCACTATGTTCTTCCGGTTTCCGAAAAATGAATAGGGTGAAGAGGGCGTACAGAGTGGCCTGCTAGATCTCCTGATTTGACGCCATTAGACTTTATTGCATGAGGCCATTTGAAATCTATTATATATAATAACGGGTAACATTTTGAGCACTTACTGAAACAAAAAGTGATATTTTCCTGTGTTTTTGTTTTATATCTGAACAAATTAAGATAAATAAAGATTTTTCTGATTTTCTTGAAAACGAATCTACCGATTTTGATTTTGAATAAACCGATACTGTCATTTTCATTGCAACTAAAAAAAGGCTTCCGGAATGGCGAAACGTCGTATAATATATTTTGTTTGATTTGGCCAGACGCTGGTGTCCTGTGGGTCTTGAAAAACGAAAACTTCCTAAACAGTTCTTCAAACATGACATAGACCCACAAAAAATGAAGAATGAGATCCGTGAGAAAGACCACGATATTCGTATATATTTTTCGACGCTGAATCAAGATCCAGGATCAGAAAAGTTCCTGGATATCTAGAATTGACCCTCGAGCCCAAAAACTCGAACGTGGTGTTCCCATGCATTTTTCGATGCTGAATCCAAATTTAAGGTCAACTAAATGTTTATACTCCTGGAATTCCTGACCGGAACCAAAGACAAATTCTAAAAGGACTGAAAAATTGCGAATACCAGGCTCCAGTATCTGGCATCCAAAACTAAATTTTCATCGCTCCCAGGGGTAGTTTTAGGGCTCGGTTTCGAAGTCTAGGGGTGTAGGGTTCTCATTGACCATAACTTTCTAATTACCCCTCCTAGGGATAGTTTTTGGGTCCAGAGATGAATTCTACATGCTAAGGGATCTTCCCGACTACAAATTTGGATCCAGCGTCAAGAACTACACTGCCAAATCATGATTTCGCGTCTGGCATCGGAAACTCAATTTCCACCCCTCCTAGGGACAGTTTTTAGGCCCGTGCCGAATTCTGAACGCATAAAATTTGTTTTAATTCTAGATTTAAATTCAGCTTCGGAACATATATAGGAATATCATGGTCTGTCTGACGGTTCACGGCCTTTATTTTCTTGTGGGCCTGTGTTATTTATCACACCCAAAATTAACATTAATCAACATTTAGCTAACATGATCAAGAATAGTATGCTTGTAATTTGATAACAACTTGTTAAAGTTAACGAAGAAATTTCCAAACATTTTTTGTTAGCTCAAATGGACCCACGACTATATATAATAAAGTTTTCTTAGAGTTCTGCGTATGTGCGTGACTCCAATTATATAGAACCGATCCCCCAGGAGTTTAGAGCTTCCAGCTTGTGGAAAAAATCCAGCTTTACATAATCAGACTCTGATAGACAATTAAACAGCTCAGCACACGATATCATAAGATGTCCAGAACGGTATATTTCTTTTACCATACACCCGTGTTATACTATGCTAAACGTGTCGCGCTTTCAGCGTTGCGTTAGCGCCAGTATATTGAATAATAATTGGCATTCTTACAGTTTGAACATATAAAGTACAATCTGTTTGCACTCTAAAAACTACCTAGTCTGCAAGATGACATTTTATAAGTCTTTTTGGACGTTCTATAGGCTTTTTTACATAATACGAGTGCCGGAAAGTTATTAGAGAGCGCTAGTTACATGGGGGGGGTCATTTATAAGGTTACTAACAGATGAAGTCAATTGCTAAACAGCTGTTTACGCGAATAGACGTCAAAGCGTAATGAAGTTGTGAAAGATAGGTACCTTTCTATCAAATCTGACTTTTCCGGGTACTTTCGTCACTTTGACCCCAGTTTTTCAAAATTTATAACTTTGAACATAACATCTCTTCAGAAAGCACAACATATAAATAATCCGTCATATTTGGCATATTCAGTAATGATTTTCTCACACAGCAAACATCACTGATTTTATACACATGCAGACCAATACACATAATCATCCAGACGCGATCTTGCTATTAAACCAACTTTCTTCTCAGAGATAAAAACTACAGACCCCGATCACTCAGCCTCACAAAGCTATGCAACCAATAATGCGTAGTTTAGTTGATTGATTCCTCCACAGATGGACGTTCACAACGATCCTAGTGAGCAAACGTGGAATGACTATTTGCGCCCTAAAAACTACCTAGTCTGCAAGTTGACATCTTATAGGTCTTTTTACGTTTTATAGGTTTTTTACATGATACCCGTGCCGGTATCTACGTGCATGGTTGCGATTTTGCTAAATTTGTCATGAAGGAATCAATCTTGAATGAGAAGCGTAATGCAGCGGCCACGATACTCAAATTTCCCCGAAGCGTGACGTGAACTCAGCACGCAGACCAGATTATTTCATAAACCCTCGCATGAAAGCTGACCAATCAGAAAGCTTTTTTGAAGTAATAAACTTAATGGATATAGTCGATTTCTATTAAAACATCTCTCAATCCTGCCAAAAATTTGTATAAGAACTATGACTATTAATTATTTACTACGTGAATCAAATACTTGTTCCTGCTTGGTAGAATTCAAATGGAAAAACAGGTTTCTCCACCTAAACCAGTTGATTTATAAAGCATGGCTTGATCTAGCTTCAGAAAAATTTTAGAAGAATTCGGTTATATCTGTTACCTCAAACACGCTTTCTATTCATAGTAGTTGGAAATTAATGTCCTATTCCGTATTACATGCATAAATAAGCTCTGACATACAAGAGACTTAGACAGAGTTCAGAAACATTATGTGGAAAAAAACCTAAAAAACCTAAAAAAACGACAAAATGTCATCTTGCAGAATAAATAGTTTTTAGGGTGCAAATAGTTCATTCCACGTTTGCTCGCTATGATCGCCGTGAGCGTCCATCTATGGAGGAATGACTCAACTACACGCATTGTTGGTTGCAGAAAGAAAGTATTTGTTTTGTGAGTAGTCTGTACTATTTATCTCTGAGATGTGAAACAAAAAAAGTTGGTTGAATAGCAAACTCGCATCTGGTTAATTATGTGTATTGTCTGCATAACTATGTATAAAATCAGTGATATTTGATGTGTGAAAAAATTATTACTGAATATGCTGCCAATGAAGTATATCTATATTAATTAGCTGTGCCCGAAGGGTTATTTATATGTTGTCCTTTCTGAAGTCAGGTTATGTTCAAAGTTATAAATTTTCCCGTTTTTTTGTATTCTCAAAAACTTTGTGCACTACGTAAAATCGGAGCCGCGCCCGCGTTGTGTGTAATTAGGCCACATCACAGAAAAATTAGAAATGACGCATCACACATCAAACATTTTCTCAATGCCTCATATCTAGGCGCTGATTTGTATTTTCTATTGATATCACAAAATAAATTTCTATAAAATTGAAAAGACTGAATAAAAAAATAATGTAACAACCTTTTCACTTTCATAAATATTTCTGTCTGAAGCATATTTCTCACTTGTTCCTTCACCAGCCAGGGATTTTCGTTTCTTATCTCTCTTTCAGTTTTGAAATTCAGCAAATTTGCATTTGCAATTTCTAGAATGGATAAGAAAAAATGGAATTATCATCAACACATTATTAGCACACAAATCTTCACTACGCACCTATGGACTGTCGTAACCTTCTAGCTATAGTATACAATATACAGCTTAGACCTCCAATAATGCCATCTCTGAAGCAGATTTTACATCACATCAGAGCCAAAAATTGATAACTAAAGCCTCATGACGTCTAGACAACAAGTACAACTACAAAACGAGTTCACACCAAGTGTCCATCAGCTAATGCTAAGTTAACTCTAGTAGAAAAACCTACGTTATCTCAAAAAACTATACGTTATACCGAAAAAAAAAACGACCTTATGTCAGCTTTCGAGATACGTAATACCCGCGCGGAATGGCACTGCAAGTTCAAAATGCATGCCAAAAAATTCTCTTCGCTTTTATTTTGTTAATTTCGGCGTATTCGTATTTCACATTTGTGACCAAAAAAGTGTAAGCGCAAAAATATTTCCCCGTTACACCCATGTTTAATCCGCCATATTTCATAATTCCAGTGGAGAAAAATCAAGCTAGCTCGTTTTTGACTTTTATTACGCCAGTTAACAAGCTGGTTGGGTGGTCCATTATTAACGAAGCAGCCCTCTAATTACATTCAAACCGGCGCGGTTCTAACAGACTACTTAATTCCTCCCCACCACAAGATGGTAATTATTGCCTCGTTTTATCACGAAATATACATAATGTACCAGTAATAATTACCGTGGCTATTGTACTAGGACTTATGATTGTATCACCCAACCAGACATTTCCTGAAATTTGTTATAAGACCTAGTGTCGATGGGATTCGAACCTACAACTCCGATATTCCGCAACAAAGTTTCATATTCAAGGCTCTAACGAGCTCCCTGAGACACGTCGGTTTTAACGCGTTGATTTCAACTGGAGCGTTAAACGGGTCAAATTCGGACGTATGGCACTACACCGCTATGTCTATTTTCCACTAGTACGATATATTAGACAACATATTTAATAGAAGGCCAATGCGTTACATCTCTCAAGCATATCAGAAGTATTGGTCTTCAGACTGAAACTATTTGTCCACTGGATACGTTATTCTCGGAAATATGTTAGTAAGTAGCCTAATAAATAGGACGTTACAAACCTTGGTAGAGTATACCACTATTGGTCAACGTATATAATATACGAGGGCAATAATGACGTATTTCTGCACCGAAATATGTATAGAATTTTTTCCATTATGATATGTTACCACATCTGATTTGATTAAAGTTTAAAATATAGACCCTCTGAAATTTTCCTGCTAGTCCGGCAACACTGTCATAATAAAAATACTACGTACGTCAATGCATCACTCGTTTTCCATTATTTGTAAAAAACCTACTGCAATTTACCAGTTAGCTTGAGACCTTCAAGCTAACAAAGTGAAGTGATAAATAAATACGAAAAAAGCTCTAAAACTCTAAATAAATGCACACATTTATTATTTTCCTGGTGTTTTCTCCCATTAACATTATTTACCAATGTAGAGGCAACTGCCTGTTTATTAACGAAAAGAGCGTCAATACAGTGCTGTCGAAAAAAATTGATGCTTCACCTGGGCAAATCAAAAATGAAATTCTTGCCATAAAGGATGAGCTGCTGAACCATGCTGTCAATGAGACTAACCCTCCAGCTGATCCTCCTCGTTATTCTGATGTACTGCGCAACAGAACTCAACCAGTCATTGTTATTCGTCCGAAAAATACTAATCAATCAGTAACTCAAACCAAGACGGACATTCTAAAGTCAGTTGATCCTCTTGAAGCCAACATTCATCTGGGTAAAGTTTGTGATATCAAGGAAGGTGGGATAGTGCTTGGTTGTAAGAGCAAAGCAGATAACTTAAAACTGCTTTCCATTGCAAAAGAGAAGTTAGGTGATTCATACGTCATCAAAGAAGCTGGCATTAATCCTAGGGTACGAATAGTTGGATTGACTGGCGAATACTCCGATGAGCAGATACGTAGCTACCTTCTGAAGGGTAATCCTGACGTGTTTTGTGGTGATGTTGAGTGTAAAGTTTACACATAGATAGAGTTTCCTATGTTAGGGTCATGAAGGCAGGGTACTTATTAGTCGGTTATGACTGTTGTAAGGTTTTTGATGCCGTGGAGGTATTTCGTTGCTTTAATTGCAATGAGTTCCATCACGGCTCAGCTTCTTGTCAGAATGAGGTTTCTTGTCCAATCTACAGTGGAAAACATGAGATTAAACAGTGTACATCAATAACTAAGCAGTGTTCTAATTGTGTGAAATTAAATTCTAAGTCGAATCTGAATGTTCCAGTAAATCATGCAGCTTGGGACAAAAATCAGTGCACTGCCTTCACGAATGCTACAGAAAAACTGAGAAGAGACTTACTCGCTGTCAAATAGCAACTAGCTCCTGCTTCATGATCATGATGCTGATAGAGATAAAGACTTTATTATTTATTATCAAAACATTCGTGGTTTGCGTTCTAAAACTAATGAAATATTCAACTCTATTTCTCAACAAGACTATTACCCTTTGATAACACTGACAGAAACGTGGCTTGATACTGATATCAATGATTGTGAGGTTAATTATTCAGTTTACAGATCTGATCGTAAGTTTTCAGCAGTGAAATTGAGGAAAGGTGGAGGAGTGGCTGTTGCTGTTAGGAGTGAAGAGTGAGTCATCTGCCACTGATATATATGTGTACCCACCTTTCAACCAGGTCAGTCCAAAGATAGATATTTTAGTAATTAAAGTCCATTACTCCAAAATATATGTGATTAATCTGTACATACCTCCTCAGGTAAGCGTTACCGACTATGAAATCTTGTTGGAAGCGATACATAGTCTAGCGTTTTTACATACTGGCAGTATTTTCATTGTTGGGGACTTTAATATAACATCATATGCTGATGATCTTGAAAATAGTATCTCAAGTAGTTACATAAACACTTTAAATGTTTTAGCAAGATTTTTCAATGTCATTCAGTATAATTACATACACAATGACAGTGGAAATTTGCTAGACTTAATTTGGAGCAATGCCATTTGCTATGTTGAACATGCTGATGATGCGTTAGTGTGTGAGGATCCCCATCATCCTGCGTTGATTATCAGTGTGAGTCATTTTCCTTCCACCAAACATAATAACGTGTTGCATAGCGACTTTAAAGGTTCATATAATTTTAGGAAAGCTGACTTTCAGCTGCTCTATGAAATGATTGTGAATATTAGCTGGGGCGATTTGAAAAATTTTAGTGACGTTGATTTAGCATGTGAATATTTCTATTCTGAGATCTATAGAATTCTTGATTGTTGTGTTCCTAAAGTTAGAATATCTTATAATAATAGGTATCCTCCTTGGTACAACAGCCATATCATTAGAACCCTCAAACAAAAAATGGTAGCATTCAAGACTTTCAGACGCACTGGTGATACTTATTATATAGAAAAATTTATAAGACTTCGCTCAGAGATAAAGCAACATGTAGCTGTTTCATATCGTCGCTACATTCACTCTTTAGAGTGTGAAATATCCAACAGATCTGGCAAATTCTGGTCTTTTGTTAATAGAAAAAGAACCTGCACTGGTATTCCGAAGGATATGCTGTACAATGGGCTGGGATTGAATACACCTAATGATGTTGTTGGCGCATTTGCGGAACACTTTAGTGGGAGCTATAATACTCCAACAGCTCAATCTAATTTTTCTACTGACTACCATTTCACTACTATACTAGCTATGCCTAGTGTACAGTAAATCGATGTGCTACAGGCACTCAAGAAAATTAAGCTAAAAATAACTGCATGGCCTGATCAAATACCTTAATTTTTGTGAGAGATTGTGCGTCCATTTTAGCATATCCACTCATGATCATTTTCAATCTCTCTCTGAAAATTAATCACTTTCCATCTATTTGGAAGTTGTCTAGGGTAACTCCTGTTTTTGAAAAAGGTGAGGGGAATCATGTAGAAAACTATCGGGCTATCACAATTATCAGTAATTTCGCTAAAACGTTCGAAATAGTGATACAAACTGTGCTATACATGTAAGCAGGTCTATCTCCGTCAGTCAACACGGTTTCATGAAGGGCAGGTCCACAGTTACTAACTTGATACATCTTACTCAATATGTTTGTGAATCAATCGATAGACAACTTCAAACGGATGTAATATATACTGATTTCTCTAAAGCGTTTGATAGTTTAGACCATAACATTCTACTCAATAAGTTATCTAGATTTGGTCTTTCAGATGCATTGTTGCTATTTTGCAGATCTTATTTATGTCATAGGAAACAATATGTTATGTGCAATGAACGTAAGTCAAGCGAATACCCTGTAATGTCCGGTGTTCCTCAAGGATCTAATTTGGGCCCTCTGTTATTTATTATGTTCATAAATGATATTTCTGAAGATATCGATGTCGATTTTCTTATATATGCTGACGATATGAAACTTTTCTGTAGAGTCTCTAACATTGACGATTGTCATCGCTTGCAATCCAACATTGTAAGGGTTGACAGCTGGTGTCGTGAAAACAGACTTGTTTTGAATGCTGCTAAGTGTCACGTTTTGTCGTTTATTTTAAAAACAGGGGTAATGATGTATGAATATAGTATTGGTGACAGGAAACTTGACAGACCTAGTACAATTAATGACTTGGGAGTCACATTTGACAGAAAACTTTCCTTCTCCTATCACATTGAAAATGCTGTTGTGGCTGCATCAAAGGCGTATGGTTTTATTGTAAGAAATACCGGTGATTTCCACAACTCCTTTACACTGAAAATACTGTACTATGCTTATGTAAGATCTATGCTTGAGTATGCGTCCCTGGTATGGTATCCTCATCATCAAATATATATTGACCGCTTAGAGTCCGTTCAAAGAAAGTTTTTAAAATACCTCTCATAGAGAGCAGACGCAAAATGAATTCACTTAAGTTCATTCACAAGCTCATCCATGGCATTATTGACTCCAGTGTCATCTTAGAACAACTTAACTTCTTAATTCCTAGATTAGCGTCACGAACTAGTTTAACTTTTTACTTAGCCAGGCCTAGGACTGACATACTTAAGTTTTCCCCTATATATATATAATGTGCCGTAATTATAATTCAGTTAATAGCGTTTTAGATATATTTGTGTTTTGTGCGACGTTGGGAGACATTAATGCTTATTTTCGTTAATGCTTGCTGGTGTGATTGTTGAGTGCTGGGTAGGTAAAGCTAGAACGCTTTTTTTCCTCCCAGTTCTGTTTGGAGGTTTTTTTTGCAGCGTTTTAGCTTTCTCTACATACATCCACAACATACATTTGTTTATATTTTCATGTTTATCCATCCTGTAATTGGCTATGGCTGATGGATGTTGCTAAATAAATAAATAAATAATAGTCAGCTCACATCATGCAAAATCTAACGAAATAATCTATGTTTTCGTCAGATTTCTGCCGAATATATTTCGAACAAGAACGGATCCGCTAAACGGCTGGCTCAAAAATTCATCCGCACAGGAATAATACCGACGTTTTTTCTTTCAACAATCTAATTAGATTTTTGACAACTCAGCAGGATTCACAATTTCCTCGCATATTTCTTTCACAGCTTAGTTTGGTATGGACACATTTGGTTCACATGAGTCATGCAGAGTCAGAGTTTCTTGGGCCAAAGTTACAGGCAGGCTTGTTGTCAGACGACATTGGTTTAACTATCAGAGTCGTTAGCCTCTAATGCATCATTTGAACCTCGCAACATCTTAAAAACGAATTCGAAGATGTCCCGTATCGCTGTCTCCGATTATGTCATCGTCGCTATTAAGTTTTTTGGATTGCAAGAAGCCCAATACATAATTTGCTCTATCCCATAAGGTCACTTGAAGTTAATGTCAATGTTGTATTATTCTGGGATTGAAAAATCTAACACGCATATCTACTTAAATACTTTTTGAATTGTTTGACAAGCTTGACCTTGAAATATCTCTGCAGATATGTTATGCTATCCAGCTGCAATATTTCTTGATTCAGGTGACCGTCGTGACCCTGATACACGTACGATAGAAATTAAAACACATGGGATTTTGATGGCGATTTCTGACGATATACTAGATCCGATACGATAATCCTGACATCTGATTTTATCGATCCTCTATATTCAAATTATATCGTCACAAGGCGCCATCGAAATCAATTTCAACGTTCGAAACTCATTTAGAATCAGGCTCAGGGAGTTGAATCGGCGATTTTAAAAGCTCGAAATCGATAAGCTCTGGACGCGGATGTCTATTTGATTGTCCTCCCTATTACGGATAAGGCCCGATCCGAAGAAAATTTGAAACAAATAACATTTTATCAAGTTCAACAGAGACGCTACCTGCATTCCTGGTAGATAAACAAGAAGCTGGTACCAGCAGAAGCTCACCAGTCGAGAAACCGCCATCAATTATTCTTTCTTCCGCGATTTATGCGGGACAATATAACTGAGAAAGTCATCGGAAATGCTGCGGCGGAGTCTGTTCCTCTTCCTTACATTCTAAATGCACAACGATTTTCCGTGTCTTGGCTACGCCAACTCCGTCAGTATTACAAGCAAATTAGATACTGTAGTTCAGCAGGTAGTGTTCACAAACTCAAGTCAAAAGCGCCAAGGGAAAGGAAGTCGGCATCTAAAAAAAAAGGGTACAGCGGAGTTGCCCCAGTTGTTTCTCGTCTCTTCCAGATATCTTACGAATCCAGCACCTTCCAGAAAACTGGAAATTTGATCATGTCCAACCCATCCCAAATAAGATATCTAAGACCGACCCTTACAACTACTGGTCTATAGCTCTGCCTTCTGTTGTAAGTAAGACGATGGAGAGGTGGATAAATCGATAGCTTCTAGCTTGGAAGTCACGGCCTGATTAGCCACAGGCAATATGGTTCTCGGCACCAGCGATTCGCATTGTAGAGTGAACTCCTCCAGTCTCATGGTGGGGCTCATGTCGTTGCTCTTGATATCACGAAAGCATTCGGTCAGCTGTGGCATGCTGCCCTCTTCTGCAAACTTCCATCCTATGGCCT